CCAATACAGCCCCAGTACAGCCCCAGTTCAGTCCCAGTACAGTCCCAGTACAGTCCCAGTGGAGCCCAAATACAGCCCCAGTACAGCCCCAGTGCAGTCCCAGTACAGCCCCAGTACAGTTCCAGTGCAGCCCCAATACAGCCCCAGTACAGCCCCAGTGCAGTCCCAGTACAGCCCCAGTACAGTTCCAGTGGAGCCCCAATGCAGCCCCAGTACAGCCCCAGTGCAGCCCCAATACAGTCCCAGTACAGCCCCAGTATAGTTCCCGTGCAGCCCCAGTACAGTCCCAGTGCAGCCCCAACACAGCCCCAGTACAGTCCCAGTACAGTTCCAGTATAGTCCCAGTGCGGCCCCAATACAGCCACAATACAGCCCCAATACAGTCTCAGTGCAGCCCCAGTATAGTTCCAGTGCAGCCCTAATACATCCCCAGTACAGTCCCAGTACAGTCCCAGTGGAGCCCAAATACAGCCCCAGTACAGCCCCAGTGCAGCCCCAATACAGTCCCAGTACAGCCCCATTATAGCCCCAGTACAGTCCCAGTGCAGCCTCTATAGTTCTGGTGCAGTCCCAATACAGTCCAGTGCAGCCCCAACGCAGCCTCACTACAGCCCAGTACAGTCTCAGTACAACCCCAGATGAAAGGAACACAAAGCTCATTGTCTATATGAATGGAACACAGAGGCCTTGAAAAGTAAACGAGGGAAGCAACTTTGATGCACAGGAAATTTGTGTCTCAAACCAAGGCAGATCAGACAGTAAACTGGAATAAGAGCTCAGCAATTAGAGAGTTGCGTGAACTGAACATCAATAAGCTGGTCATCGACGGAAGGCTGAGATCAAGCAATGGACACAGTGTGGAAGGTGCCAACAACCACCAGAGGAGCCTGAGAAGAGCCTCCAACACCACATATGGACTAGTGATACAGTGTGGCCATGCCAATAGCCTCGTGTTTGATGAACTGAGCAAGTGAAAAAAATGCTCTGGAAAGGGTTCCCTCTGGGACAGGGTGTGGAAACCAGCCTGTTCTCCCTGTGTGACATAGTGGCTGTTGTGGGGCACAACTCCCTGATCCCAAAGCCACCAGGCCGGTGGGGAGGGTGAGAGCAGTGGTCACGGGGCAGGGACAGCAGGCAAAGTGCTGACTGCTGTGAGCACTCTGCGGTGAACAATGTCCCTCTGGAGCTGTGGGAGCAGCCTGGGCTGCCCAGCATGTCCCCGGGGGGGGATCACCTCTCCCAGCGTGCCCTGAGCTGGGCTCAGTCACAGTGTTTGGGCTTTGCTCACATCACAGATTTGCGTGGCACATGCCAAAGTGTGTCCCACGTTTAAATTCCAGTGGCTGGATCTGTGGTTGGCTGGAGGATTGCAGAGCTGGGAGAGCTCCTCCAGGGGAGAGCCCAGCTGCCTCCCTTCAGGGGAGCACTGCTGTTCTATGTCAATCCACACGAGATGTAGTGGATGCTGCACATACTGCGTGTGCCTGTCGTACAGTCCCACACATGGGAGTGGGCACTGATGTGACTCAGACACTTGTGCCTCAGCTACTGAATCCAAACTGTAAGATTTCTCTAACATATCGACAATCAGGCTCTCATAGTCCTGGAAAAAAACTCCAAACCTAACTACTGGCAAAAGTTTGCATTTCCAGCTGAACTTCGGCACGTGCGGTTGTTTAAACCAGCCCTCGATGCACACAGCTGTGCCCAGATGCTTCCTACTCTCTTCCCTGCAGCTTCCCGAGCCGTTTACTCAAGGATTCTGTTTTTTCCTCTCACTACTTGCGGCGCCTTTAGACTGAGGGTAAAGCAGGGGCGGCTGCAGTTCCAGAGCTCTGCGTTCCTGGCTGAGCTGTGCCTGTGTTTGCATGCAGAGCCATCGCCTCCCCTCCAACTATTTTAATCATTTCAAAAGGGTGGGTCAGCAGGCATTTGGCAGCAGCTCCTTTTCTATAGCTGAGGTGGAGTCAGCCAATGACCTGCAAGCCTGGAAAATTTTGCAGGGCAGTTGCAGTGGACGGCTGTGCGAAGCTGTGCCATTTGAATTTCAGCACAGACGCTCGCTGCGCTCCCATTCCTGGCGCGTGTCCCAGTGCAGAGTTAGCCGAGGCTCGGGCTCAGTTTTCCCTGCTCACTCCCTGTGACAGCTTCGCCGGGCTCCGGCAGCCAGCACTCCAGAGCCACCATGGAGGACACCACCTTGCAAATCATTGAGCCACCCACTGTTTCTGAGGCCTCGGAGGAGCAAGTGCCCGAGGAACCCATCAAACCAGACCAGATCAACGGTGTGATGGTGCTGACCCTTCTGGACAAGATCATTGGAGCAGTGGATCAGATCCAGCTGACCCAAACACAGCTGGAGGAGAGACAGCAAGAAATGGATAGCGCAGTGACCAGCATCCAGGGAGAGCTGACCAAGCTGACCAAGGCACACACCACCACCAGCAACACCGTCAACAAGATGCTGGAGAAGGTGCGCAAGGTGAGCGTCAACGTGAAGACAGTGCGGCAGAACCTGGAGAAGCAAGCTGGGCAGATCAAGAAGCTGGAGGCCAACGAAGCTGAGCTGCTGAAACGCAGGAACTTCAAAGTCATGATCTACCAGGTAAGGAGCTGTTTCACAGAGTCTTTACGTCCTGTTAGGGATGTTTTTTTGCTGAGGGTCTGTCACGCTGCAGGGTCAGTCCAGTCCTCTCCCAAACTCCCTGGACTGCCCAGTGGTCCAAAGCCACGCAGGCGCCCTTAGCTCTCTCGTTTGTGGTTTAACATTCCTGTGTGTTCTAGGACAAGGTTTGACAGAATTGTCCCATTTAGCAGGAATTTTAATGCAGATACTGAGCACTCAGTGCAATGGGCCAAAACTATCAAAATAATCCGATTTTGCTGCTTAGCTCAACAAAGAACAGGAATGCTCTGGGGTCTGGAAGGGTGTGTTGTAAGTCCATCTGCCAGCGTCTCTTCTACTGAGAGACACCATGTGTGTGGCTACGTGGGGAGCGATGATGTTTCAGATTTGTGACATGCATCTGATAACAACAAGTGACAGTAACCCTGGCCTCAGGGTTAATCTCACCAGCCAGGGCAGATAGAGCTGTCAGAGCAAATCCAGACCAACCCCCTGAGCTCGGCAGCACTCGGGGAGGCCTTTGCCATGCTTGTACAATTCCCACCTTCTTTCTTCTCCTTCCTACAAGCCTTGAACCTTCTCATTGTCTGGTTTCAATAACAGCTTTGATTTGCTTGATGTTCACCCCCTGGCTAAGCTTTGGAGTTTCCTTTAATATTAAACAAGGAGAGAGAGAGGGGAACGTGGTTCTGTCAGGTTTCCCAGAGTTAGTTTTCTATGTCAGAGCAAACTCATCTATTGGGCCATGGGAGAAAAGCGAGTGAAACAGTTAATGATTCAGTTGGAAGCCTCTGGGTTAATAATAGCCAGCACCAGGGACAAATGGAGAAGCATCGAGTGCTGATCACGGGAAGAGAGAGAAGAGAAGCAGAATAAAAGGGAGAATGCTCTGTACTGTGGGGTTTGAGGGAGAGTAGCTCACGGCAGGCTCAGGGATCGGGCGCAGACAGGGCCTGTGTGACTCCCCGGTTCAGAGCTTCAGCATTTGTAGTGTTATCGTGGCTGAAATGCTGAACTACTCAAGCCTGTTTGGATTACACAGGAAACCTGACCAGATGTAGGCAGACACGTGTATGTGTTTATTACAAGCTCTTTGTATCAGGCATGTGTGGAAGATCAATCTATCCATGGAAAAATAAACCAGAAATTTAAATGTACTGCAGAACCAACAACCATTTCAAAATGATTGGAGTGAAGGGCATTGTTTAAACATAACATTCTGTGTGAGGTGTGGAAATAGAGAGGAATTTGCCAAGCTCCAAGGTCCTCGGGAAGCATCCCCATAGCGGCAGGTTGGTGCTTCGTGAGCTCTTCGTGTCGGTTTGCTGTGGCTTATGGATATTGAGCAGAGTTCCTCTTTGAATATGGAAAAGCAATCCTGCTTCTAAAGGCTTGGGGTCTGCTCTTGCTGATGTGGTGAGGACAGAGCAGCCCTGGAGAGTCTGTTGTCAAGGGACTGAGGGAAGACTTGGGGAATCACAGAGATAGTGGGGAAACAAATGATTGGTAATTTGGAACAATTTCCCAGCAAGGAATTTAGTGTGATTTGACTGTGAGGCCACAGAGCACAAGTAAGGCATTCTCCAGGTTTGCCCCATGTGAAATGGAGCCCATTTGTGCCCTCGTGGACCTTCTAGTGCTCCCACAGGAGCTGGAGCAGCCCCAGAAAGAACCCATCACTGGGAGGGGTTAAAGGAGTGATTCACTGTGCTTTGTCACTGTTGCTTGTTAATAACAAGTGATTACAGAGTAACTCTTCAGTATTGCACTTCTCAGACCCTCCAGCCTACCAAAGTGTCTCGGGTCCCTTATTGGTGGTGTAATTAATTGTGTGGTGCTGAGCACGTATTGCTCCTCTCTGGCTCATGGAGAGCTGCTTCGCCGGGCTGGGAGTGATTCCCGTGGGGTTTCAGTTGCTGTGGCTAAAAGTGCAAAGACTTAATAGTCTTCTCTTTTGGTGAACAAGAGGAAAACTCATCTTAAGAGACATAAAATATTCCATGATCCCAGTGGTGGCTGTTTTCAGGCAAGAGAGCTGAACAGAGCTCAGTTGTGCTCCGTAGGGATTCAGTATCGCACAGTTGTGCGGTTTGAAGAAATAAAGGAGGTAAAGATAAATGAGCTTTTTCTGGTTATCAGTGTTTGATTATTCTCTCAGCATTAATTCCTGAGGCTCAAGCTGATGTGGAGGGACTATTTTAGGAGTGCAAATAAGACCTTTTGCACCTTGGGAGGGGAGGTCAGACTGCATGAGAGAGTCATCTTTTGCTTGCTGTAGACTAGGAGGAAATGAAAAGAAAGTTTTATTCAGGGAAAGCCTGACCTGTGGGATGATCCAAAGCATATCTGCCAGGTGAGTTTCAAACTTTGGGGCGGAAAGTGCTGAGCTGGAAATCACTCCCACGGCCCCGCTAAGGTGAGTCAGTGGGCAGAACATTTAAGGGCCTCAGTTGCAGTCACGTACGCACGTGTTTTCTCACATACACTTTGAGCTGATTTTGCTTGGAGCTGGTCTGATCTCTACCAAGTTAAGAGTTTTTGAATTGACTTAATGTAGGGAATTAGATCAATTCTTGAGAATAAAATTCAAAAACAACAACACACTCCAAACTGCCACATCTTTCTGATTTGAGAACTTGCCGACCCGAGGCAGAGGTGACAGCTCCGATGAGATGCTGTGTACACAGACCCTCAGTGCAGGACTTGACTTCCTAAAAAGTCTGATGTCAGTGAGAGCCTGCACCGCTCGACAGCCCCTGGGAACAGGGCTCAGAGCTCTTCAGAGCTCCCTTTGTGCCTCTGCCCAGGCTCCCCTCTTTCAGAGAAACCAGGACACCAACAAACCCGGTGAGAGTGGCTGCTAACAAAAACAAACTAAAGTGACTGCATCCAAATCTCCTGGTTTTAGGATCCTGAGTCCGGGGCTGGTTACTGCAGCTCATGGTTAAATAATGGATGTCCTGAGCCCAGACTTTGTGCTGAGCTCCGCTGGAGAGCGGCACGTGGCAGCTTACGTAAACTCTCCATTCTCCTCCGGGTTTTGACAATTAAACTTATTCCTGCAAATGCCAGAGGCTGATTGCCTTACAGCCAGACAAGCCCTCACAGCTTTCTGCACACACATTGGGTGCCGAATTTCTGGTGTGCCAATCCTTTATTTTGAGGCTCGTGTGGGCCCCGAGCTCCGGGAACTCTGGCTCAGGATGTGCAGTGCTGTTTGTTTCTTGGGAAGAACAGCCTTTGCCCAAGGGTTGTGGGCGAGTACTCTCCACACTGTCTGATCCGGGGGCTCCCGTGGGGCTCCTCTGCCCTTTGGGGGGCTCTGGTGGCTGCTCCGAGCCGTGTGAGCCGTGGGTTTCCATGGGAAGGTCTCAGAGCTGGGACAGAGGCTGTGCAGTGTGTGGGGTGAGTTGGGCTGGGCAAGGAAGTATAAATAGCCCATCCTGGCTTTGTGCTCTGCGTGGGCCTTATACGGACGGGAGCAGTGAGGCTGCACAGCGTGGGGAGGAGGATGGATTTCACACCCACACATTAACGGGACAGATTCAGAGGCCAGACCTGAACTGCCTCGTTTTTAGGTCTGTGCTCCTCTGAAGAGTGCGTGGGAAAGCACTCAGGGGGCTGAGGAGAAGGCCAGGCCGTGGAGCCCAGGGCATACAAACCCACTGCCCCAGGGCTGCAGCCTTTCTCCACTGCCCAAACAGAGTGGCAGTTGCCTCAAGCTATGCTTTTGTTTCAAATTAATCATTCAGAAACAAACCCATGATGAGCCTAATAGCAGTGGAGCGTTGATGAGAGCCAGCAAGATCCGCAGGCCCAGGGACAGCCTGGGTGGGTGACGTGCCTGGGATTCAGTGGAGCTTGCCCAGCTACCAGCCTGAAAGAGCAAACAGGAGTTTCCAAAGCAGTTTGGATAGATAGCAGTTGGGATAGATATGGGCATTGGGCACCTATGGGGCATTTTTCCTGCAAGTTCAGTTGGCTCCATGTGCCTGGGAGTGCTCTGTGCTGGGATGTCCATTCCTCTTCCCAGTGGGTCACTGCAGGGATATGCATAGGGCAGCTCATGGGTTTGTATTTGTTTGCTGATAATAACTTAAAATAATTATCTAAATATGTTTATTATTCTGATAATTGTTTAAAATAAAAAGCTGGTTTCACTTGGCTGTGAATCCAGTCCAAAGCAGCTCCTGTCAGTGGAGGTTTCCCCTCCATTGCAGGGCACCACATGCACATCCTGATGTGCAAAGAATCTGCATATTGTCTGCATTTTACTGATTTATAGGAGTCTCACGATGATAATTCAGAGGAGACTGAGCCTTAAAACACGTCAGGGTGCTAATAGCTCTGACTTCCAGGATTATTCTTAGTCAGATTACCAGTCTTCTACCAATAGACAACTCTGGAGCATGGATTTCTCTGTTGGAGCCTGGTATCAGCTGCATTAATATTTCATTGCTCAGCTATTATTTATAAGCAGTTAGTGCCAGGACTGTTTGCTTTGCTGGAATCCTTTCAGCATTATAGTTACAGACTGAGCTGTGCAGCCATAAATTGTCCCGGAGCAAAGGGCCAGAGGCTGCCCAGCCAGTTGGGATGGGGTTAGAGTGGCTCATGAAAACAAAGCCCAAGATAACATCCCTTCTGATCACGTATTCCTCCCTGAGGCCTCTCATGTGTACAGCCTGGAAAGCACAGCAATGACTCATAAACTGTCCAGCAACAGGCTTAGTCCTCTTTTATCCTGTTTGGGACTGTCCTCTTGATTCTGCAAGATCTCCTATAACTTACAGAGCACCTGAGCAGTCCTGGCTCCGCTGTCCAGCTGTGAGATAAGACAAAGACCAGAAACAAAATGCTTGGTGTCTGTGAGGCAAAATCAAATATTTAGAACAAAAAGTCTCAGGATGTTTAGTCTCCAGTTTTATGTGAAGATGCAAATGTCAGTGTCTGCAAATCATCTGTAATGCAAACCTGTC